GGGTGGGGAGGCCATCTCAGCGAGAGGAGGAGCCTTGGGGAGCAACTCCCTGGACAGCAGAGGCTTGGCAGAATGAGGGGCCAAGGAGAGGGCCAAGGTCCCCAAGTCACCTCTATCCCCAGTCCCACCCCCCCGCCAAGAAATTCTGCCAGGCTTCTCAGGTCAAGGCTGGACATGTGGGGGGTGCTGGTGAACCACCCCAGAAAGCTCCGAGAAACCCAGGCTCTCTTCTCCAAGTCAGATCAAATTAGGCCACAAACACCTCCCACCCTGTGCTAATTTGAGTTTAAAATGTTTGAACCACAATAAGCCTCAGCCATCGACAAATCCCCCTTTAAAAAAAACAGGAGCATAAAATTACATGTTAAAAGAATAAAAATGCATCCGCCCAATTAATTTTCTGAAATCTCATTAAAAAATTTAGCCTGACTAAGTCAGAGTTCTGACCTGAATTTTAATCACCTTTACACTGAATGGGTCTTTTTCTCCCTGATATTTGCAATGCATCATTAATTTTAAAGCAACTGTTTCTGTGATTTTAAAAAGCACACTTGATCAGAATGACATTTCCTGTAAACGAATTTCACCTTTAAAGACATCTGACACCGTGTGCAGGGAGTTCTAATGGATTCGGTGTATGTGTACACAGTGATGTGTTTTAAATCTGTGTTACACAAAAGAAGGGCAGGGTTTACAGAGTCCATATTGTCAGGCTCTTTACGAGGCCGACCCTGCTCAGGTCTCCACAATCTGGCTAATTTCAAACCCAAAGCTCATCTTCCCTCTTGCAGGCCTGGTGGCAGGAAGGGGCGCTGTGGGGCCATGGGACGTGGAGAGACTCCTGGCTCTGCCCCTCAAGAGCAAAACATATGCGGTATTTATCTTGGTTTCCTCTCCTGCAAAATTGAGTTCTGAATAAGACCTAGTTCCCAGTTGGCAGGAGGATGGGATGAGGTTAAGTGCCAGGTATTGATTGCACTGTTGGCATGACCACCGCCATGACTGTCCCAACCTGGAAGTCTACACTCAGCTCCCAGGGCCATCAGCACATGGCAATAGTGAGCAAGATGCCCAAAACACAGGAGTCACCTGATAACAAACCATGGGATCGCCTCAGTTGCAGTGGGTTCCTCAGGACAATTCCCGCTGACTGAGCTCAGAGGAAGCTGAGCTTAAACATACATAAGAGAATCTGGAACCAACTCCAATGACTAGCAAGCCAAGACTTGAAAGGTGAAAGCCGTAAAGAGCACCAGCCATGCCGCCAGAAGTCCGGATACATCCTCTACTCGGCTCTCCCTCATCCCTTCAGTTACCAAGTGCGGTTGGTTTTCTCCCTGCAAGTCTCTGGAATCTTCTGTCCCCATGTCCAGCCGTTTAAGACCACGGCACCATCTTACCTGGGGGAAGGCAGTGGCCTCCTCGTCTCCTCCTATTTGCACCCCACCTGTGCCTTGAGCACCAGCAACCAGTGATCTTTCTAAAACGCAAGCTCCCTTGTCCACCTAAAACCACAAATGGGCTCACCCATCACTCACTATAGACTCAGTTCCAGATGACGCAGCCTTTCGTAAGCACCAGCCGTTCTCCCATCCAAACACTGGTAGTTAAACACTTGCCTAACCTGACTCGTCCTGCACCTTCAGGCCTGGCTCCTTCCTCTTCCTGGGACATCCTCCTCTCCCTGTCCTGCCCTAAATCATGGCCAGCCCACCTGTCATCTCTCTAGAACTTTCCCCGTCCCACCCCACCCTCTGGGCTCCCTCAGCGTCCGCCCGTCCGTCTGTGGGGCCTTCCACCTCGCACACGGTCTGTACCTCCTTCTGCGTGGGGCTCCTCAGTAGACCCAAGGCAGAAACGAGACAAGCATTTGCTGAATTTACAACACGTCAGCAAACACTTCTTGAATTTTAATAGCTGTTAATATTTGGTCATTAAATCTTACCTAACTGCCAACATTGCTTTGGGAAGATTTTCATAAAGATTTTGGCCTGTGTGATTCAGATCTGGAAGCAGCCGTCCCACCCCCTGAAAAGGAAGGCGCATTCCTCTTTCTCTGAATAGGGCCCAATATAATTGAACTTGGCACGCCCCAAGCAGGTTTGCAAAGACTTTCCAGATGGAAGACACATTAACCAGGGCTTTCTCAGACAACAGCACCTTTCTCCTTCTTGGAAATTCACGTGGTTCTTAATGGGTCCCCTCTGTTTCATTCCTGATGAAAACACTCAGCAGCAAACTGGTAAAATCATAAAGCACGGGGGCATTAGAACTCTTTCTCTCGATTGCATGCATGCCTTCATTCATTCATTTGAAACCTCAATAATTTCACATGTGACTCCACCGCGTTCATCAAACGTATTTTAATAAGAGGACAGCTCTCACAGCTAGAAAGTTCCCTGAAATGACAAACCACTAGCCTTGGGGCACAGAAACTTAACAAAACCAGTTGGAGTGGTTGCTAAGTTGTTCCTTCTACACTGCGGGTATTTCAGCTCTGGGCTCCTGAGCCATGAACAAGAAAATGAAGGTTAAAAGAGAAGAATGAAATCTGTGACACACATTTCCTTAACACCCATGATGTCAGATGCCATGCTGGGGGTTTAAAGTATTCCATCTCACTTAAGTCTTCACGGCCCCATTTTACAGATGAGGAAGCGGAGGCTCAGCTCATTTACCCATCGTTGCCTGGCTGGTGAGGGCTGGAGTCGGGATCGGAGCCCTGCCTGGTCTAGAGCACAGTATTCTCGCCATCGCGGGCCCTGGCTCCTTCTCCTAAGGATGATTTCAGGGCAATAGCAGGGCCTCCTGCCATCAAGGAATATGGGTCTGCTGTCAATTTCAGGTGTTTGTATGTCCCGAAACAGGCAAGATTTGGGCCGCGATGTCTCCCCAGGTGGTGTTTAAATACCAGCGCTTCATGAGCGGAGGAGAGAGGATGCGCCTGCCTGGCCTCATTCCCGCCCTGACCTGGGGCAGTGCTGGTGTCTACACGGCTGGCATCCCCGGCCAGATGCTGGCGGGACGGAGGCCCCTTTGCCGACGGCCACTGCCCAATGACGAGTGATCGTGTCTCATCCACTCCAACACGTGTGACCAGACGCCCGGACACCGCAGCCGCCTCGCCTTGTTCGTGAAATAATTACGGGGCTCTCTCTTCTGCCAAATGAGGCTGTAATTAACCCTAATTGCTCAAAATGCAACTGGCTAATTCTGGGAGATTAATCAAGGGGGACTCAATTGTTAGTGAATGACTTAATATGACAAATTGCTACATTACCCGAGGAGGCCCCACTGCCCCCAGCCATCAGTGAGCTGTCCTGGTGGACTCGGCACCAGCAGTGGCCACGGGCCTTGGGGCTTTCTGGGATCTGCCTCCCCAAATTCCACCTGGGAAATGGGCCTGTGTCCCATCCAGTAATGGGAGTGGAGAGTACAAATAGTGCAGATGCCCTAGGACTCTATGTGGGGTGTGTGTGTGCACGTGCGTGCAGACACACGCGTGTGCATGCACACACGCACACACACACTAGTAGACACCGTGTCTACTAGTTCACATGTCTCACCTCTTCGTGAATCTACAAAATTGCTCCTTCCCTTGGGCTGATGGAGCCCCACACAGGGAGCATGGCTTGATGAGAACTCAGGTGTAGGAGACTGATCTCAGACTCATCGGCCTCCTTGGCCAGGCACCTTTGTGCAGTACACACCTGCACAACTGCACATGGAAGCCCTGGCCAAGCAGGTCAAACAGCAGAGTCCACCTGATGTCCTCCAACAGGAAGTAGGCACTTAGAGGCTGTGACAAGCCTTCTGGGGCTCGAGAAGGTAGCTGTCTCTGAGGCTCCCCTTGATTCGGGTCTCATAGCTTTGGGGACAAAGCCAACCCTGGACATGACTTTGCATCATACCAGGCTGTCCACAAGGCCCTGCAGCACCTGGCCCAGGTGACCTGCCCAGCCTGCCCCCTCCAGGCCTCTGCATGCCAGTTCCTAAACGAGGCCTCTCTGGCCATCCTGTTTGGATCATGTGCCTTCTGGAGCTCCATGGGCCCCTGAGTTTCTTCTGCCCTGTTTCCTACCTTTCTCTCCCATGAGGCTCTGTGCTTTCTTAAGAGCGGACCTGCGTCTGTCTCACACACAGCCACGTCGGGGTGTATTACGTGTATCTGCAGTTCACTGACTCCCCTGGCATTGAAGGGCTCCTCTGGGCCTGGCCTGGGATGATGGGACCGGTAAAGCCCCACCCCCACATCTTCTGTTTAGGAAGGGAGGCAGACTCGGGAACCAGTTCCCCAGCGGGATGCCATGGCCAGAGCCCAGTGCCTGGGCCACACAGTGGGGGGAGTGGGGTGGGACAGGGAGGCTCCCTAGAAGGAGGAGCATTTGGACGGAGGCCTGGATGAGGAGTCCCAGGCCCAGGGAACAGCATATGCAAAGGCACAGAGTATGCAGGCAGCTGGGAACCCCAGAAGCCACCTTTAGAAAAGCTGCAGGAGGCTGCCTGGCTCTCTAAGGATCTGCACAGAGCGAGGCAGGTGTAAGGAAACCAGTGTCCTGAGGCTCTGCGGGTTCTAGATAAGAGGCTGAAGAGGGCCAGGACGCAGCTAAAACCAAAAAGGGAAGCCAGCTTCAGCTGAGAGTAAGGAAGCACTTTGTGACCGCAGGCACAGGCTGCCCGTGCCCCCTGGAGCCCCTCACTCTCTCCTCTCTCCTCTCACATGGCCTTTCTAACCAGCCCTGATCCCGCGGACAAAGAGCTGTTCCATTCCCACGGAAATCCCGGAGTCTGGCACAGAGAAGGCTTCTCCGAGTGCTGCTGAGTGAAATCAGGGCTGACCAGGTTGGTAGTGAGCCCCACCCCCACCCCTGGAAACATTCAAGAAGTGACTCCGTGGGGGGCGGGGGGGGGAGGGCTTCCTCCAGTGGCTGGGATGAAGCAGCCTCAGGGACCCAGCTCCCTGCTGAGTCCCCAGTGCTCTGCAGAGACAAAGGGCTCACCTGCGGGTCTGGGGCGTGTGCAGGCCCTGGGCTGTGGCAGAGGCTGTTCGGGCTTCCTCCGTGGGCCATGTGGCTGGGCTGTCCGGCCATCCTGCATGCCAGCCTCCCGGGGCACGGGCTGCAAAAGAAAACGCGGGCTTTCTTACACACACGCCTGTTCACCTTCTCCCCTCCACGTCACCAGGCTGGACGAGGCACTTCTGTTGACCCCATCTTCCAGCGGGGGTACAGAGCAACCACCCAGCTCAGAAGCCGCAGGGCTAGGACTCCATTCCCCACAGGACACACCTTCCCTCCATTTCCCTGTTCAACAAGGTTGCGAGGATCATCCCCACTGGATAGAGGGGGGAAACGGGCTCTGCACAGGGAAAAGTCTAAAGGCGGCCCCCCCAGCCAACAAAGGAGGTGCTGGATTCCGCTCTACAAGAGCTAGGCTCCAAAGTCTTGTTCTTTCCACATTATTTTCCTCCGTGCCTCCCAGGGGCAGTTACAAAGCCCTGTCCCCCGTAGTCACCCCCACAAAAACCCAGACTGACCGCCTGGGTGGTCAGGAGAGAGACCCTGTGTCAGCCCGCATGCAGCAGCTTCAGGAAGGGCCCAACACCTCCATCCTTGCTGGGCCCTGGTGCACCAAACCCGGGGAAGGCCAAGGCCATGGGTTCCCCTCACAGCGCTGCGTAGACCTCCAGGCAGGCACAGAGCCCTCTGCACAAAAGGGAGCAGTCCCCTGTACCCCCTAGGGTTTGGGCTGCCACGTCAGAGGCCCCTAGGAGAGTCAAGAATGCCAGCCACCAGTTGTCATGGTAACCACAGCAGCAGTCCCTGATAAAGCACCCACTATGTTCCCTGGGCCTGAGCTAAATGTCATCTAAGAAGCACTCCCAACACCACTTCCCCTGGTGTCACAGGCAGCCTCTGCCGGCCTCCCTAGCGGAGGGCTGCCTCTGGAGCACGGCTCAAGGCAGAGCGAGGTACAGCCGGAGGTGAGAGCCGGCACCTGGCCACCACGACCCTCCTGGACGCAAGGGGAAAAGCCCTCCCCCTTGGGAGGAAAGCCTTTCCTGCGGCCACAAGCATTTCCGTAGCAGCTTCTATGCCCAGGGCCAGGCCAGGGCTCCCACAGCACTGCGGAGAATGACAGGGCCTGATGCATGGGACGCAGGTCCCTGTCGTAGTGCAGGCATGTGGTGAGGGTCCCCGAATCTGGCTGTGCTACTTCCGCCAGCCCCCGCCCTGGCTGTCCCCCGGACTCCACACACTCCAAACAGAGCCCCTCAGGACCAGCCCAGGCTATTGCAGCGGCTCTGTCTATGCCCTCCGGAGCCAGAGTCCAGAGTCCCTAGAAATTGGTGGCCCCCTGGACAGCCCTTAATCAATGACCAAGGGGTCCAGTATGAAAGTGCCCTTGTCTGTGTCAGGACACTCGGGCAGTCCGAGGTGTGACTCACACTCCGGAGCCCTGGGTGGAGCCAGCGGGCCCGAGATCACACCCCTGCTCGTCGGCCTCCCCCACTCCTTTACGGTTTTCTCACTCTCGGGGTCTGCGTCTGGAGAACCAACCCGAGACATCACTTTCTGCCTAGACGGACTCTGCCTCTCTCAGTCTTTAACCTGGTCATCTACACCCGCCAGCCAAACCCCACACTGAGAGCCCTCCCCTGGTCCAGTGGCTCAGGAAGCTCCGTTGCACACACCTCCCAAGTCAGCACCCGCCCTCGTTAACACAGCGGTGTCCAGGCGGTGGGAAAGGAATCTCTTCCTTCCTCCCCACTGTAGATTTTTCCAGCTCCGGGGGGTGAGCATCCAGCCCTCCCAGGCTCAGGGATGTCTGCGATGCCTTTTGAGCTATCCAAGCATGTCCACCAAGCCCTAAATGACCCACTGAGCTTGACTCTCCAGTTGTGCCTCCCTAGGAGCGAGGCCAGGTGGAGCAGACGGACCGGACTCAGGCTCGCAGGGGAGCCCTCTGCAGCAGGGAGTCGTGCTGGGCGAGGGCCGTGTCCTGCCAAACATGGCCCGTGCTATCCCCTGGCTGTGAGCTGCCAACACTGAGCCAGGTTCAACCCCCAAACATGGCATTTTATGTAGAGATTTTTTGCTCTCTTTTTTCTCTTGTCTTGAATCGGCTGCAGGAGGAGGGTGCTGTGGGGGTAGTGTCCGTACTTCTGAGCCCTCTCCTCCGACCAGCCCCCCTGACTCTGTCCCAGTGTGGGACTCCCCTCCCACCTGGGCCCCCCAGTGCCCGTGCCCTGCTCACCAGCCCTCCTCCGTGTGTGCCACCGAGGCTTCCTGAAATGCACATGGGACCACGACCCCCTCAGCGTCTCGCCACCATCTGTGCCTGAGCTCCCACACTGGAGCACACACCCCCAGGGTGACACAGTGAGGACTGATAGGAAAAGCCCCAGGATAAACACACAAACACGAGCGGCTTCCCGAGGCAGCACTGTTACTCAGGGGGGAAACGTGTGTGCCGATGAACCGGATTCGGAGAGAACAGAATGTAAAATGCGCATGCATTTTAAGATAAAACCGGAGACTCCTGCAGGCTCAGCAGCTGCTGCGGGCTGCACCCCCAGACCCCTCGGGGTGACATGTTCACCATCCTCTGCCCTTAGGGAGACCTCCAGGGAAAGGTTGGAGAAGAACTGTCTTCAGCAAGAAGGTTCTGTCTTTACCTCTGTAAGCGCCAGAATGGCCCAGAGGCCAGGCCCACATGTGCACCTGCCCCCCTGCCCACCTGCCGACAGACTTCACGTGGACTGCTGACCACGGCATGTGCATGTCTACATCTCCCTCCCTGCATCCGACCCCACCCAGCCTTTTGGGGCCAGTGGGCCTGGGTTTGCATCTTGGCCCTGTCACTCACCAGCTGGGAGCCTGGGCAAGTCACACTGGGCAGAGGCTTAGCAGGTGTCTGCCAAGGTCATCCCCACTTGCCCTGTGCAGTATTAGCGGCACCCTCCCAACATCTGTGCCCGGAAGCAGCAGACTACACACTCAGGAGCCCACCCCAGACCTCACACAGGGCTCCAGGAGCACTGCCGAGGGGTCCCTGGTCTCATCAGAAATAACAGTAATGATAATGATAAGTCAACAGTTGTGTGCTCTGCTTATGCTAGGCCTTGCTCTGTACACTTCACCTCTTAGCCCATCTCATTTAACAGACCCTGTCTCTCAAGGCATAGGGTCTATTATTGTCCCATTTTACAGAAGAGAGAAACGAGGCACAAGGAGGTTAAGAGATTTGCCCGGATCCGTGGCAGTGGAGCCAGGACTCAAACCCCTGGTGGCATCTTTGCCCAAAACCACCTCCCTGCACTCCTCACAGGCTCTCAGTGGCAATTCCTCATCTTCCTTTCCTTATACAGAAGGTGAACTTCCTACGTCATCTCCCCACTGAACAAGCCCCTTCCCTCAAAAATAGGGAGTGGGCAGGGGTGATCCCAAGGATGGAGGGCCACAAGGGGCCATTACCCACTGCAGGGGCCCCATGGACAGGAGCCCCCAGAGTCCGTGCCCTTTGGGACAGCACGACAGTGATGCAGCTCTGCTGTCCATGGTACCTTTTCTGCCGATGCCCTGGAGCTTTGGTAAATGACTGTTCCTAAGAGCTGTTCTATCCAGAACCTAATGGAAGGGCAGCACCATGTCCTCCCCAGTGAGCAAGAGGGGCCTTTGTTCCAGGAAAGAAGCAGCCAAGGAGGATTCTGCAAGTCACAGGCTCCTGAGTGTCAGAGAGGGACACTGCAAAGGGGAAGGAGGAGGGGAGAGGAAGGGTGGAGATGAGGAGGGGGGAGGAGGGAGGGGGAGGACAGAAGGAGCTTGGTGGGAGGGAGGGAGGGAGGGAGGGAGGGAGGGAGGCAGAAAGGGAAGGGGGGATGGTTGGGAGGAAGGCAATGAAGGTTCTCTGAACATTTCCAGTGGGCCAGATCTTTCCCATGCATCCTGGGGCTCTTGGTAGACCCATTTTATAGATGAGGAAACAGGCTCAGAGAGGGAAAGCTCAAGGTCATGGGGCTAGATTTGCTCTCAATGACTCCAAAGCCCCTCCTGGGTCCAAGGTAGTCCCTGCCTCTTGCTCTCCAGGGGTGCTGCATTTTCAGAGACTTTGCATTCTGTCGGTCTATACCTCCATGGAAGCCCAACCCCTTTACTAGAGATTCCTGCCCCAAACTGCTTCTTAGTGGATGTGGATGCAGAAAGACCAAGGCAGAGATTCAGACTGACAGAGCGCAGGGAAAGCCCTTCAACACACATGCGCATCCCCGGGTAGCACAGGGAGCTAGCGGCCTGTGCCTGGTGGCTCCTGCCAAGTCAAAGAACAATGAGGCCCAGGCTGCCAAGCCCAAGTCAGGGGCCAAAAATGCATGGAATGTGAGACCCGGGCAGAGGCCACACTGAGGGCCACCTAAAAGAGGGCCTTTCTTCTGTGGGGAGCAAGGGCCCTGCGTTTCTGAGGCACTGCGGGTGCACAGTGCGGCTCCCAGCCTGGGTTCCCCATGCATGCGTGTCCACCAGGTGCCCAGGGACCACATCAGGATGTGCCTGAGGGTTCAGTGAGGCCTGCTGGGGAGCCAGGTGCTTCGGTTCAAATCCTGGCCTGGCTTCATTTAACCATGCAGTGACTCAGTTTCCTCATCTGGAAAATGGGGCTAATATAGATGTTCCTTTTAGGGTCACTGAGAGAACTGAATGTGTTTACAGATGAAAACTCCTTACAGCAGAGCCTGACACATGTGAAGGTCCTTGGAGACTCTGTCATTAGCACTAACCCTCACTGGGTGGACGAGTGGCAGACATGGGGACTGGTGCTCAGAGTGGGGACTTGTGTAGGGTCACACAGCTGGTAAGCGACAGAGCCCAGGCTGTTGGCCCCCAGATCATGCTCCATCTGCCTCATTGCATGTCCTCTTTGGGACCACTCTGGAACAAACGCCTTCATCGCTAATGTGAACTATGGCTACCTTTCTTTGCAAAGCCCCCTGACACTTCAGGCGAAGCTCCTACTAATGCGGGGCTTGGGTTTCACCCGAGCACTCCCTGGAAGGGACTGGCTCCTGGGCTGGGCTGGGCAAGGAGGTTTCTCCAGTGGCCTTTCTGTCCCCTGGCCCTTGCCTCCCAATTTCTGGAAACTTCATCTAGAGGAGTCGAGTCCCTCCTTTCCCTACTGCCAAATGACACACCTCGTGGAGGCTGGCAGCCCACGGAGGCCCTTACCCTCTCCCTGAAAAACGACTCAAGACACCAGGAAGGCTCAGGGCAAGGACCTGGCTTGGGGCAGGTTTGGGGGGTCTATGCACGCGAGGCTCTGTATGTTGGGGGTCTCGTGGTGGTGGTGCATTCATATTCTGTGGGGGGGGGGGGCAAGTATTTGTTCAGGTCTCACTTTGTTCTCAAACCCTGAGGTGGAAACGGCGTGTCCTGCCTGCCCTCTCCCAGGCGCGTGCGCGCACGTCCGCGTGTGGTCAGGGTTCTCCCGACGGCCGCAGGCTTTGAGCCCGGCCACACTGTCACTCCGTCAACCTGTCAACCAAGGCAGGCGTGCCGCTGCCCCTGCCTCCACCGGACGCTGCAGCCTGGGCCAGTTTGCCTGAGGAAGGCCCCTTCTCAGTCCTTCCAGGGCAGTGAACAGCTTTCTGGGTTGTTTTCCCAAAGCAGGAAACTAGCTCGGTGACTTGATGCCCTCCCCCTGCGGTTCCCTTTCCTCCCTGAGTGAGTGACCCAATACTGGCACCAGGTGTGGGCAGCAGGGGCTATTTCCGTTTGGCCAGCAGGCCCCTGGTGGCAGAAGCCTAGGACAGGTGCCGCAGGCCAGCCCTGCCCAACGCACCCCTTCCGGCCCCCTCGCATGTGGAGATGTGAGGCCCGGCAAGGAGACGCCGCGGCTCCTGGTGCCCGGCTGCTGGCGGGGTCAAGGCTGGACCAGCTTCGGCCTCACACAACATTAAGCGCTTTCCCTGAGCTGAGTGATTGGAGGGCCTCCCCAGCAGCCCAAGAGGTGCCATCAGTCCCATTCCGCAGGGGAGGCAAGAGGCCCTGAGGAGAAACGGGACTTGCCAGAGTCTACACATCAGAGAACGCTGCCATTTAAACCTGCTTCCCGGACCAGCAAGGCTGTGAGCAAACCAAAGAAACTCCACCGATTTCATGTCCCAGTACAAGGGCCTGCGGCTGGAAGGAATGTCCTGCCGGTGCAGACGGGCTGGTGGGGAGGGCAGGGTACCAGCCCTAATGCAGGACATACCGCGTCCGCAGCAGGCTCGCGCCAGGGGCTGGGCAGGCCTTGTTCCCTGGTGGCCACTGTAGGTGGGGGCTGCTATGATCCACAAGGCTAGAAGAGGATACAGAAGTTCAGACTGGCTAAGGGATAGGCCCAAGGTCACACAGCAGGCCACGGGCAGAACTGCCACTCAAAACCAAGTCTGTCGGACTCCCCTGGTCCATACTGCCTTGGAAGAGCGAATGAATGAATGAATTCTGGCCCAGAGGTTTGGCTCTGGCTGCTGGGTCCTCCCCCCACCCAGGCCCCACTTATCTTCTGGTCTGAGGATAAGCAGACGTTACCCATTCATCACTGGACGAGAAGCAGCCGGATCTCAGGCCAGAGTCATAGGGGCCTGGGAGCCATAGGGGATGAGCCACAGATGATGTCTGGTTTCCGGGCTGGTCCTACTTCCCCTCACTCCCCACCCCCGAAGCCACACATGCTGCTCAGATTCCTCAGCTTCAGGACCAGTAGGAGCCTGTCTTCTCTAAGACACGGGACCATGACCAGCCCCGTCCTTCGAAGGCCTCTTCACAGGGTGGGCACGAATCCCAATCTGCCGCTCCCTGCCCAAAGCTCCCCAGGACAAGGCCCATGTGCCTGCACAAGGCATTCCAAGTTCTGCCCAGCTGGCATGGGCCTGCCCTCCTGCATTTCCCAACTCCTCCACCCCACCCCAGGCCCCTGAGCAGAGGGCCCTCCCCTTCCCAACCACACACCCCTGCGGGGATCCTCGGACTGTCACGGGCAAAGTCGCACACATACATCAGGACCAGATCCTGGGTCCTGCTCAGGCTCGACGCTTCCTGTGGGGTCCTGGGCAAGTCCCACCTGGGCTGTCTCCCTCCATAAAGGAGAAACAGACCCCAAAGAGTGGGCATGTGGGGGGCAGTCAGGCAGTACCCAGGCTCCCCCATCTGCTGGTGTCCGCACAGTGGGGTTCTTCCTGAAGCCCACTGTTTGGGCACCAACTGCTTCCTAGGTCATCCCCTCTTCCTCCTCTGCGGGCCTTCTGAGCAGGAGCCCATCTCTGCGGTCATCTCTAAACCGTCAATGTCTCGCCCGGGGCCTGGCAGGGGGAGCTGACTGCATACACTTCTGATCAGTCAGGGGTAGAGGGCCGGTGGTTCCTCCCCTGCGCCTGGAGCCCCAAGCAAGGAACGTGCACCCTCATGTTGCAGGGTTCCTACGGTCTCAGCTCGGGCAGAAATCACCAAGCCATTCAAAACACACCTCCCCTCCCACTGTACAGCTGCCCAGAGCCTTTTTTATTTTATTATTTTATTTTTTTAAAAGATTTTATTTATTTGACAGAGAGAGACACAGCTAGAGACGGAACACAAGCAGGGGGAGTGGGAGAGGAAGAAGCAGCCTTCCTGCAGAGCAGGGAGCCCGATGCGGGGCTCGATCCCAGGACCCTGGGATCATGACCTGAGCCGAAGGCAGAGGCTTAATGACTGAGCCACCCAGGTGCCCCTCCCACAGCCTTTTTTAAAACTGAGAAGGTTCCTAAGCGCCTTTCATTTCCTCCTGCTCGGATAATAAAACTCAATTCTGGAAGAAAAAAAATGCTGTAAACATCTCATCTTTTAGGTAAAGGAGCAATGAGGCCATTGGTTTCTGTCTGGGAAGGTGTCTGGCTCCAGGACCCGGTGAAGGCCATGCTTCATCCCACCCACCTGGAAGAGGAAGATACCCAGCACTTCCTCTGTGCGAAGGAGTTAAATGCAGCGCCTTGGCACACCCCTGCCGGGATGTCTGCCATGACCCCATTTTACAGAAGAAGAAACCGAGGCACAGATAAGTGACCCACCAAGCCCCTGGCTCTAGTAGATGGTAAGCCCTGTGTTTGAACCCAGATCTAACTCTCTCCAAAGTCTGGGTTTTAATCTCATGTGCTTGGGGCAAGCCTTGGAGCCTGAAGCCAGAGGAAGCTGGGATCTCACTCTGCTAGGAGCTTCAGACCCTTTAGTCAGTCCCACCATGCGGAGGACCCCTACCCCTCAGATAAATGAACTCATTCTCTCCTCAAGGCCTTAGCAGACTCTACTCCCCCTCCCCGGAATGAAGCGCCTCCAGGCAAACCTGGCTCCTCCTTCAGAGCCCAACCTGGGGTACCTCCTCCACGTGGTCTTCCTGGACGCCCCCAGTCAGTGACTCCCTGGCTCCACAGTGTTTGTTCCCGTGTTGTCATTGCCTACTCTTGTCTTTCTCTCCCCAGCTGGAGATTTCCTTGAAGGTAGAGACCAAACTACTCAGCTCTGTGGCCCCAGCAGGCCTCAAAGGGAAGGCCAGGTAGAAGGCTGCTGACCCAGTCTTGTAAACACCAGAGGCCAGGAAGGAGAAGTCTGGGGGCCCCCAGGTCAGCTCATTCCGGGGCCACAGGGAACGGGCAGTTTCAGGGAGAAATGCCTCTACCCCCATATCCTGTCTCAGACCATGGCTACAGCCCTGACAACCAGTAACGGAAGGAGGAAAGCCAGTGGAACAGCCCCCAGCTTCAGTGTTGGTAAAAAGTTCGCCCCAGGCCCCAGGAGGATGAACGACCATAATCCCGGATATAGCTACTCCTGGTGGAAGAATCTTCCGTGGAGAGCTCGCTGCTCAGACATCTGAAACGAGCCCAGGCAGCTAAAATTCATCCCAGAGGGGGAAAAAAAATTGCCTTTTCTGCTTCCCTCATAACCTCAGGAGTTCTGGCGAAGCCCGTGATCACTCAGTGTGAAACCCGTTGTTGGCAATGGCCCGCACCCCCCGACCTGGGCAGCGACAAATGTCATGCCAGGCTGACGGCACTGACCCACTGGCAACCCCCACCAGGCAGACGATCGAGCGGGCAGCGGCGGCAGAGGCTCAGCCAGGTCAGGTGCCCCAGGAGCCCAGGCTCCAGAAGCTTCTCTCGCTGGCCTCCCAGTCACTCGCGGGGCACACCCTCAGGGCGAAGGTGGTGGCAGGAAAGAGTGAGGGGTTCCTCGCAGCCGGAGGCAGGACAAAGGCCAGTACCTTGCAAAGTGGCTCCTGAGAGGCTCGGGAGAAGGGCTGCTCAGCTCGGGGTAGAGGGTGGATGTGCAGTGCAGGGGCCTCTGGGGACCTGGGTGGCCTCCGTGTGCCAGGGCGGCTGAAGGAAGAGGGGCCAGCCCTGTCTCGGTACGAGACTTCCCCTGCCCAAGACTCCCATCCCCAGTCAATGCCAAAAGGAAACTCCCCCACCACGCGCTGCCCCAAAAATAGCTCCACTGTCAACTCTGTGGTGACTGGAACTTGTCACAGCCACCAGGGAGCCCTATGCTCACCAGGGACGGGAATCTGACGGCAGCAGCCACCAGTCTAGGAGAAAACATAGGTGTGCCCCACACCAGGAGGCTTGGAATGCCATCAGAATCCACTCTGGGATTGCCCAGCCCTGCTCCCCCATTCTACCTTCCAGGAAACTGAGGCTGGAGGATTAGAGACTTGCTAGGGCCGTGAGCACAGCCGTGGCAGCATTTGGCCAGGACCCAGCCTCCTTAACCCATCCCATACCCCACGCTGCTCAGGCAAAGGGGTTTGCTGTTCAGGCTCTTTATGAACCGCTTGCCCCCAACCCGGAAGCAGGTACCCTGACAGCAGATGGCAGGATTAAGCCAGCCTGGGCTTTGGGAGTGACACGGTGTCCTTCCCGTGTCCCTTGTACTCCATCCCCGTCCATCCCTACTGGGGCCCCAGCAAATGCTAAGAAGTACAAAAGTTCTTGCTGTCCCTTTAAAAGCCTAACCCTTTCTAGTCTCTTCCTTTGTAAGCTGAGCCGCAGATATTTGTTGCCTGACAGATGAGAGCTGTGGTAGGCGACCGCTGTGGGTTCGAGTCCTGGCTCTGCCATGTCCCAGCTCCTGAGCCTCGTGTTACCACCCTGGGCTGCTAGTCGGGGCTGTGACATCACATGAATCAAAAGTATGTAGCCGTAGGCCTGGCACATAACGGACACCCAACCAATGGAGTTGCTGTTGATTATTATTACATCCTCATTCAGGCCCCATACTCTCCCAACAAGACCACAACCAGGAACTAGGACTCAGCATCTTCCTACCTTCCCTTCTTTCCATAGGTCTTCCCAGCTGCTCTCCGTGCAGGGCCTGGGCTGATGGCCGCTAACCCTGAGATGATGCAGACAAAAACCCCCTTGCTCTTCTCATCTCCCCAGGAGAGAACCCCCGAACACAGAGACAGATCCAGAAACCAGAAAAGAACATGAAACGTGCCCACAGGAAAAGGACTGACGGATTCTCACTTCGGGCCAGGCAAGGTCCCGGACAGCTTCTTACAACAGGTAGAGGCTGAGATGGCCTACGTGGATGGGCAGGTTTAGGAGCAGAGGGGAACAGAACTCTGGCGGATGACACAGCGGGATCAAAGCCAGGGAGACCCGCGGACCTGGGCACCGGGAAGGCTCCAGGCCGGCCCCAGCCCTCGGTCTCCAAAAAGCAGTCCCGTGGCCAACACCTGCCTCCTCCTCCAAAACAAGAGCCACCTCTACCCTAGGCGAAGAGCCCCCTCCCCTCAGTGCCCCATCTGCAGCCCGAGCGCTGGGACTGACACAGGCATATGGCAGCTGAGGCCCCAGAGGACACACCGAGTCAGATCCTGGCACCGCGGCTCGGCCACCTGCCAGCATACCTTCCCTGCCGGCCGGGGCCAACTGTCAGGCATATGCCAGGTGCTGGCCCCCTGGGTGGCCGCTGCTGGGCCCAGGCCAGCCTTCCTCGGGCCTGCGGGGTGGACTCCCCACCCAGGCCCTGATGCGTGCAGCACGCCTCGAGGACGGTCCTTTATGACCCAGCTAGGTGGGTGTCATCAGCCTTGACTCACAGAGGAAGCTCCCGACCAGCTGGGTCAGGCCTCCGAGTTGGGTGCCTTCTGTCTAAACCTTGTTTTTCTTCTGCTTCTGGGCTCCTGCTTGTTTGAGAGGAATTCTCTTCAGGGCAGAGACCTGCCCCTAGGGGCTCGCGTGCTCCTGCCCCTTGGGACGCAGCACAGCACCCAGGGAAATCAGATACACGCCGGGCGAGCCAACCCCAGGGAGCCTTCCACTTCCTCCTGGGCCTGAGGGGGCGGGCAAGAAACTTCCAGAAGTCTAAGTCAGCTCTGGTCAGCCTCCAGGCCCTCCAGCACTCACGGTCACTGCTGGTTACTGCCCGGCTGTCCACCCCGGACGTGGACGAGAGGCCAGAGCAGCACGGAGGGCCACAGACAGGCATCCCCACCCCTCCATCTGCTGCAGGACCCCCGGGGCCTCCCAAACCAGCACACGCCTCCAGCACCATGTCCACTTCTCCAGCCAGTCCTGCCCCCTGGGGCGGAGTGACTGGCCAGCAGGCAAGCACAGCTTCTGGGGCCCCACCAGGGCGGTGCCTGTATCTTCCTGCGTTGTGTCCCCCAGAACCCTCACGGACCCAAGCAGGGCCTGGGAAGTGCAAGACCATTTGTAACTGCTGAAGGATTTCTGCTCTGAGCTGCGGCGTGTGGTGTGGTGGCTGGAAGGGGGGGAGGGAGTCCTCAGGGCCCCTCAGGGACTCTCACAGGACCACGTGACCCTGGGGAAATCAGAGCGTGTGTCTGGACCTCAGTTTCCCCACCTACAGCACAGTGGGTCAGTGCCACAGTCCGGGGGTGGGGGAAGGGCGGCTCTTTCTGCGCTGACCTTTTGTAGGCGGCTGACGGAGAACTTGCTGGTGCCCCACAGCTGAGCTCAGGGATCCCGTATCTAATCATGTGCGCATTCCTGGGAAGAAAACCAGATCTTCTGGGTCTGGAATTACAGAGGGGACACTCTGTCTGGCTTTAGAAGACTTTCAGAAGCCCCCTGAACACCACCCACCCCCTTCACAACAAGCCACAGCATATGGGGGCGTGGCTCAGAGGCCTCCCCCGCTCCCAGACAAGCAACCACCAAGGCGACATACGTATGTGGGGGTCCCGCATAGAGTACCCCTACGTGACAGGGCCTGGGCCAGATCCCTCAGAAGCATTGGCAGCTTGTGCACTCATGAAGGAACACTGCGAGGCAGACTGTGCGTCCATTTGACAGTTGAGGAGACTGAGGCTCAGAGGCCTGTGACTTGCCGGAGGAGTACCAGCTGGAGGCAGGCAGCCCCTGGATGAAAACGCAGGCCTGAGTCCCTGCTCACCTGGACATCCTCTGCAGTGCACACACTGGGTTCCTGCCCTCGGGGAAAAAGCAAATGTGGTGGAGGAGGGGGGACGAGAGCAAAGTGCTTCTCTGTTGCAAAATCACAAAAGGGGCCATTGCTTCTAACTTGAGCTAATCAAGGGGGCTTCAGGAAGGTGGTGGCTCTGGGTCCCCCTGGGACCAGATGGCCAGGCAGTAAGGAGGTGGAGGCAGCCCAGCATAGGCTCCGGCAGGCTCTGGAGTCAGAGAGCCCAAAGTTCAAGTCCTGCATTGCCTCTGCCGGACCACACGAGCTCAGGCCAGTCCGGAAGTCACCTCTTTGCCGTTCCCTCTTCTGTAAACGGGGGGCCAGGTAGGACCCACCTCTTAGGATTGTTAGGCGGGGACTTGCAGGCAAAATGCCAGCCTAGGACTATCAGGACCCAGGTACACACAAGAGCTCAATGATTACCATTATCATCGTAAAAACAGTGCTCATTCAACAGCAAATATTTCTGGCAGCCCACTCTACAAACCGACTGTTCACAATAAGGCCGGGGCCCCCCGTCTCAGAGCCAACCAGGCCCTTGGGCCTGCAGATGTGGCAGGGAGGCACCCATGGCCTCTGGGGGATCCCCCCTTTCAGAAGGGTGGGAGAGGCCACACTGGCCTCTGCTGCATTCTCTCAGAAGCTGGGAAGTGATGGCAAAGCATTTCACCAAGTTACCAGGACGATGAACCTGAGCCGTCCCCCTCCCCCAGCTGTCTCAATAAAATAAATCTTGGCCCGCGGCTGGTGAGAGACCCTATATATTTACATGATGATCGTGCTTCATGATCACAGGGCTCGTGGTTCCAGCAGGTTTCGTGTGGCAGGGACGCCAGTGGTCCTGGGAGACTCACTATTTTCCGGCGACTTTTACTGTCCATTATACCCCGGCGTTTACAGGGCTCCACTCCAGGCCTGGCAGGAATATCGCACACAGCCAGGACTGGCAGGCCTTAATATTCCAGGCGCCGTACCGCATGGGTATCTCCAGGTCTCATCCGTCCTGCCCAAGTCTCTGTGTGACACAGAGAACCCAAGAATGCTCCAGAGACGCCAGTGGGACAGGGCTGGGGATGTGTCTGGAGGCACACGTATCCCCACCAAGCCATTTGCCTGGTTCCGGTCCGCTGTCCCGGGCCGAGGCCACTGCTAACGCTGTGGCCTTCCTTGGGCTTGCAAAGGGTTGGCAGCGGGTAGGGGTGGGGGTGTGGGGTGGGGGGGGCTGCACTGGAGCCATTACTAGCTCAGAGGGCCGCTTGCTACATTCTCAGGGATTTTGTGAGGCAGTTGGTATCACTTTGGTTGCTTGAAATCAACAAACGGGAGGAAGATTTACACCATGGAATTTGGCAAATACTACCAAGTCAGGGCTTTGGACAAGTCCCTCCCTCCACCTCCTCCCAGGGAACCGTTTGTTAAAGACTTACCAGCATCCCCGGGGACGGGGGACGCAGTGGGCCACTGGGGGACATATGAACATGAGTCAGGTGTGAATCCTAACTTCCTCAACCACTGGCTGTGTGACCTTAGGTAAGTTATTTCACATTTTGAGCCTCGGTTTCCTTATCTATAAAACGGGGACATACCTAAATTCCCAGGGCCATTGTGAGGCTCAGAGCACCTTACGGAAAATTCCCTGTGTGGGGCCTGATATGTATCAGGTGCTTCACAAATAATAACTTTTGTCACCTATTCATTCAACACTCACTTGTTCCCCCCCCGCCCCCCGCCCCGCCACCGGCTCACATGGGCCAGCACCTACTCTGTGCCTGACACTATCTGAGAGAAAGGGATACATAAATGTCCCAGCAGGTGACAAATACCAAGTTCTTCCCATCTGGACAGTTCTTGAGTATCTGTAGAGGAGTTTCTACCTATACCATCTCACGAAGCCGCATGACAACTTT